AGGCGCCCAGAATCTCGTGGTCCCAATTCAAACAAGCCGCAAGCAAAGAAAACAGCTCCAAAAGCCCTCACCATCGACCCTATCGACCAATCACAACGACCAAGAATTCTGCTGGCTCACTCACGAGGACTTTGTCCGGTTCCTCCTCGGCCTAATCGGTCTATTCTCCCCAATCCCCACCCTTCCCATCGAAACCCTCGGCATAATCAGCCACGACTACCCAGTCGTGAGCCACCACTCGCCCGCCAGCTCAGCACTCGAAACCATCCACCGAGCTTCCATCGACCAGACCTCGGTTGCCTTGCTCGACGAGCTCGGGTCACTCACCGGTGAGATCTCCCCTTTTACCCTCCTGACAGCTGGCGACCTCACGGGCTCACCGGAGGAGCTCGTGCGTGCGGTGGAGGAATGGCTGAGAGAAAGGATGGGCTTCTTGACAGGTGGCGGCAATTGTTGCTCGTCCGATGATGAGTTGGCATCGCCAACAACGCCGGGCGGAATGTGGGCCCGGCGGGCTTGCTCGAGCCGGATGATGTGGCGGGACGAGGCTACGGTTTGTGGGCCCGGGAGCTCGTTGGTGGCGGTGATGATACAAGCAATTGCTCGTCGGGTGGGGTCCGTGTGGGTGGTGGATAGGGAGTGTCGGGTGGTGGGGATGGTGACTTTTGCTAGCATGTTGGGGGTTTTTAGGGATTGTTTGGAGTCTTTGGTTTGATGGTTTGTTTGGTTTAGCTTTTTTGTAAGGAGGGTGATTTGGACATTTGGTTGGTTCTTCATCTCTCTTTGTTTATTTTTATTTATTTATTTATTTTTTCTTGTTTTTCTATAATAAGTGTGGTGGGTGTGGGTTTAGCTCTTTGAAGTTTCTTTAGAGATCAAATGGAGGAACATGTTGTGATTGTGAGCCTGTAAATTAACTTTTGTGTCTGTGGCATTTTTTTACTCTCGAGGGTTGTTTTCTGTATGGAGAGCCGCAATATCCCTTGTGGATCCTATAGAGCTGTCAGCTGTGAAACGAAATAAGTCACCCGTGAAATCTGCTTGCCATCAAACGAACCGAGCTTGAGCTCGAGCTCGCTTGAATCTCGTTTTGTTACGAGTTACGCTCGACTCAGCTCAATTCAGTAAGACTCGAAAAGATAATTTTTATAAGACTTTGATTCGTCGTTAAAGCTCAAGATGATGTCGTTAAGGTTGAAATTGTTTAGTAGTTATGTGGGTGTGTTTGTGAAGTTTAATCCCTATGCAATTCCAAAGGGATAGTGCTTTTAACTAGGAGAACAAATTGTGCATCGACAGGTATATGTTTGGCCTACGTCTTTTTCCAAATTGCTTTCATCAAGTTTTTTACTTAAAGGTCAAGGGCTTTTTGCCTTTTGCTTTTGGGGACTTAGAAAGATGACATAAAATAATAAGTTTGGGGCAATCAGATTGAAGTATGGGAAACGTTGTAATCAATTTAATGTGGGTTTTAGCTGTTTGACTGCATTTAATAATACCTTTTTTTTTTCCTACTTGAGTGAAGATTAAGGGAGATGGTACGGTTTTTTTTTTTTTTTTTNNNACATGTACCTTCTGATTTCTGGATCCACAGGGGAATCGACTAATCCGGAATCGAGCCGGGTAGGATCACAAGGGCGGCAAAGCTCTCCCTCAAGAGTATGTAGTATGGTACGGTCCTTTTGCAGAACCATTTCGTCGGGTTTGTAGTCGTTAGATCATCATTTAACCGTCGAGGATATTTGATTAACGGTTACAAACCTCGACAAAATAATTTCGTAACAAACCGTATGTTTGAAAGAAATTTATAAGGTTTTGAACATTTAATCAACGTTTGATGGTCCTGAACCGTTGTGATTTGGAAAGTGGAAAGTAACATAAATTACATAATACAATGTTTTCAACATAAAGAATTTCAAAAAGGACAAAAAAGGTTCATAGCATGTTTGTTTATAGAATTTTTTGGTTTGGTTTGAATTTTTTGATTTGGTTTGGTTAATTCTGAAAAATGTGGTATTGTTAGTTGTTAGAGCATCTCCAACCACAATCGTTATACTTACAGTTTCTACAGTAAAATCCCACTAGTTATACAGTTTCAACAGTGTCAGCAACTCCAACTCATTCCCTTTATAATTCTCCTCTAAAAGAATATTCCAAGCATATTCTTTTCTAGTTTAATTAGTTTATTAAATAATCTCTACAAATTACATTTTAATGCATTATGCTTGCTAAAATTTACATATTTATGTATATATATTATTTATTGATTAATAAGATTAATTAATAAATTTAAATCAAAATTATAAAATTACACACTACATCATAAAACGACGTGGATTTCATCACAAACATTAATTTAAAAAAAAAACATCAACACAAACATGAAGCATTCAATACAACAGGAACTACGGAAAACAAAATACAACACTAGTTATTGTCATGAGAATATTTTTCCCACAAATGTGCAACCAATGCATTACGAAGTTCATAGTGGACAGATTTATCCTTGATTCTTTTGTGTCGAGCAAGAAATTGTTGAAAAGAGATGTGATCTCGCGGTGCTGGAGTAACCGTAGGAGCACCGAATTGAACATCACTTCTAGCTGGTGCACTAAGATCCCGTTGCTCTTCGACATTCATATTGTGCAAAATAATACATGCTTTCATTATATCATTAAGCACATCTTTTTTCCAAAAACGAACAGGACCCGAGACGATTGCAAACATTTTTTGCAGAACTCTAAATGCACGCTCAACATCTTTTCTACATGCCTCTTGTCTCATTTTAAAGTATCCCTCCATTGTATTTGATGGTGCAACAAATGACTGAACAATAGTGGACCATTTTGGATATATACCATCTGTTAAATAATAACCCATATTAAACTGTTTGCCTTGAATGGTATAATTAGCCGGTGGAGCGATACCTTCAGCAAGATTTGACATTAGAGGTGATGCTTCCAGCACATTAATGTCATTATTGGCACCTGCATACCAAAATATGCGTGCCATATCCATAGATCATAATATGTCACAGCATCTAAAATGATTGTTGGTTTTCCAGAACGTCCAGAGTATTGACCAGCCCATGCCTTAGGGCAATTCTCCCATTCCCAGTGCATGCAGTCCAAGCTACCTAACATACTTGGAAAATCACGTTGTTCACCAATATGAAGCAATCTATCGATATCATCGTGATTTGGTGATCTCAGATATTGTGCTCCGAAAACTTCAACGACTCCACGACAGAATCTCTTCACGCATTCATTTGTCGTTGACTCGGCAATCTTAAGATATTCATCGACACCATCTGCAAGGGTTTTATAGGCCAACTAACAAAGCGCCGCTGTCCCTTTTGTATATGTTGACAATCTGAGTCGACCAAGACCATCCCGACGTTGTTGGAAAAAACTATCATGATTTTCCAATGCTTGCATAACACGCTTGAAATTATGAATAGAAATCTGAAACCTTCGACGAAATGTAACTTCATCGTAGGTTGGATTACTACTAAAATAATCTCGAAACAGAGTGCGATGGGCCTCCTCCCGATCACGATGGACTACTCTATGTCCTGGAACAGAACCTCCCCAAGTTGGTCGACTACTTTGCGCAGAGAGCATGTGCCATAAGAAAATTGTTGGTTTGCAATATATGAGTGGTGGTTGATTCTAAAGTGTTAACAAAAAGAGGTAATGAAACATTTGCATTTTCCTCATCCGAATCATAATTATAGGGAGGAAGATAATTCATTGTAAATGATATTAGAGGGCAATATTACAGAAATATTCGACAATGAATATAATATGTAGTTTGGATGGTATAATGTATAGTTTCATGTTTATATAGATGAATGAATGAACAAAAGAAATAAATATTTTCTTCATTGGATTCGTTTTCAGACAAGTCCATGTGATACTTTATTTCTTTACAATGACAAATGGGTGTAGTCTTCAAGAAGCATAAGATTCTTTGACCAACACAATGACAAACCATAGGGTGTAGTCTTCAAGAAGCATAGGATTCTTTGACCAACAAAAGGGTGTAATCTTCAAGAAGCATAGTCTTTAAGAAGCATAGGATTCTTTGCAAGGGTGTAGTTTTCAAGAAGCATAGCCTTCAAGAAGCATATGAATCTTTGCATAAGGGTGTAGTCTTCAAGAATCATTAGATTCTTTGCATAGGGTGTAGTCTTCAAGAAGCATAGGATTCTTTGCATAGGATGTAATCTTCAAGAAGCATAGGATGACAAATGAATAAAAAATTAATTTGCATAGGATTCTTTTGCATAGTATGACAAATGGTACAACTATACTTGTGTGCATGTGAATTCGTTTATCTATTTATACATCAAACTTCAAGAAGCAACTACACACATATCTCATTTCTTCTTCCATTATTGTAGTCTTATTGTTCCCACTCTTCTTCAATATCTTATTTTCTTCAAAATGTCTTCTTCAAAAGGGCCAAAATACTCCAAACCGGAAGATGCCTTAATTGTCAAATGCTACATAAGTATTTCACAAAATCCAATATCATCAAATGATCAAAGTTCTTCAACCTTTTGGAAAAAAATATATGATGAATACAACTCCCAGAAACACAAACATTTACAAGAACGCTCTATAAGGTCCCTTGACTCTCGTTACCGTCTCATGGAAACTCATTATCGGAGGTTTAATGGATGCTTGAAGCAAATCGAATATCGCAATCCTAGTGGGACACAAATCCAAGATAGGGTGAGTATTTTGTTATAAGTTCAATCTCGGTTCATGTTATTTGCTTGTTTTATAAGTATACTTACAATTATATATCTTTTACTTTGTTTGTAGATTGAGCAAGTCGAACGATTGTTTGAACAAGACCCAAAATATAAAGATGGCTTCAAGTTTCATCATGTGTTCAAACTATTCAAAGAGTTTGGAAAATTTGATGATAATGTGTCCCAACCACGATCTCGTAGTCGGGATTTCGATACACTCAATGACTCTTCCGAGTCCGACGTTCCATATGATGGACAACCAACACCAGAGTCTCCGGGATTGTCGTCTTTTAGTCCTCAACAAAGTAACGATGGTGTTGGGGGGACATTCTCTCAACGTCCAATGGGAGCAAAGAAAGCAAAATTGAAGAAGAAAAATGAAGACCAATTTTGCCAATATTTTCAAACTCTAAATGCTAAAAGTGATACTATTGTTGATTTGTTGCAGAAAGCCGATGAACGTCAAAATGTCCAACTTCAATTGCAGAAACAACAAATCGATTTGTAGAAAAAGAGGGATAAAGATAGAAATTTGATGATAGGTTTGAATTCTCTTACGAATCCCATGATACGTCGACATTGGGAGCAAAAACAAATGCAAATTTTACAAGAAAGAGAAATTGAGCAACAACAATCTCAAGCAACACAACCATCATCTAACACGGGTCAATTTGGATTTCTCGACGACATCGGGCATGACAGAGGAAATTTGAATGATTATTATTGTGACAATTAAGTCTATGAAATTATCTATTTTATAATCTTTTTTTAATTTTTATTTTTATGTTTCGTATTAATTATTGTTGTTATAGTATGTGTGAGCTTTAAGATGAGGTTTTTAGTTTATTTTTTGATTTTAATTTTTAGTGTTTGTACGTTAATTTTAACTTTTAAGTGAGTTGAATGTTTATCCTTATTTTGTAATTTAAACTTGTTTGTTTGAAATATTATTTAAGTGAATTTAAGTACTAATTAATATTCTATCATATTAATTAATAAAAGTATTCAATTTTTCATTAATGTAATGTGATGTGATGGTCCTTAATAAGATTAATTAATAAATACTAAAATTTATTAATAACTATCAATAACTGAACTGATTTAACTCAGAAAATACTAAAATTTATACTAAAAAGAATCTTAGAATTAACTAAAATAATAGTGAAAATTTATATCTCCTCTCGACTAGACGAAAAACTGAAAGAATCGAGAAAAGCGAAGTGTTGAACGCTCGAATTCGGCCCCGACATTTTAGCTCATTTTACTACTATTCACTCAGGAATTCAAGTTTCTCTAATTAAATGCTCGGAGCTCCGAAAAATACTCGACAAATGTCCCGCATGACATCGTGCCTGAATCATCTACACGTCCCAACTCGATTCTCGGTAAACCGAAGTTACACGCGACCTTATGGGACCACCGTAAACGGCTTTTTCATTTATTTTACTCATATGCACCCTCAAATTCGAGCTACTCAAAATAAATGATCGGGACATCAAAATAATAAATCGACGCCACAAATGTCTTCTCCTCTTCTCGTGTTTTCTCGAAAGTACTTTCCGCGAATGCTCGGCTCGCTTATCGAGGGCCGACAGAACACCCGAAGTCGTGACATAAAATAAAGCTCAATTCCATATTTAACAAAAAAAAAAATTAAACAAATTAAAGAAAAAATAATAAAAAGCCAAGCGGGTGAATAGTGGAACGGTTGCCAAACCGTTCCACAAATTTTACAGTGGCGTTTCCGGCAAATATGCAGAGCCCGTTGGAGATGCTTTTCCTCCACCTGTACCGTTTCCTGCAGGTTTACAGAGCCTGTTGGAGATTGGGAATATTAAATAATATTTAAAATAAAATAATTAAAATAATTTGATGTAAAAGTAGGAGAGAGATGGTTTGATGTGATGGTTAGTTAAAATAATGTGAGTGGATGAATAGTGAATTAAAGTTGATGTGGTGTGCATAAATGATTGATTAATATTATTTAATTATATTGTTAATAATGATAGTGAGGTTGAGTTAAAATTGAGTTAAAAAAAAATAGTTGAGTTAAAATGTTGGAATTTTTTTAAAACTTTCCATAAACAAACATGCTCTCAGTTTCTTGGAATGTTTTTAGCCTAACCCGGTTGGCCTTGGAGTTGTCATGTCCGGTTCAGCCGTTTGATAATTAATTTTAAAATTACAAAATTATATATTTAATATTTTTATTTTATAAATCTATATATATAATTGTTGACAGATGCATTAAATAAAATATATTTAATTATACATACGTGACCATTTTACTTTTTCCATCAAAAAGCTGTTACTTTTGATTTATTTAACCTTTCATTTAATTATTAGATAATCAACACACTGATCACTTCAAAATTACAAAAATCATTTTGAACTTTCGATTACTGACAGTTGACCATATAATGTGTTGACAACGTATGTGATTAGTTGTTATTATTGTGGTTACAATTAATTTTTGAAAATAAAAATGTATTTGAAATTCTTAAATAAATAATAAATAATTCACAAAAAATGTGTACCAAAAAATACATTATATTCAATCTAATAAACAGAAATAAAAAAAAAAAAAATTCGAACCCATTTAATTGTAAATTTGACCTGCAAAAAGTGACAAAAAAATTATTAATCATTAATGCATACAAATAATTTACAATAATTTATTTATATTTGTGCAAATAGACAGTCGAATACTAGCATACATGAAATTAACAAAGATAAATAACTTATATCCAACGTTTGCACCTCAAAATCTTAATAATATTTTCTCATCATAAATATTTGTCTGGAGTAATTTCCTCTCTATTTTTCAGTTATTTCGAATTTGTCGGTTCAGTCGGTTTTGATTGATTCGGTCGATTTTAGTGGAATTTTGCACACCCCAAAGATTAATCGGATATTCCCAAATAAAACCCCCAAATTGAACAAGTTTTCCCCTTTCAAAACCCTAGCTATCAGAACCAGCAATCAGACGAGATGGGGAAGAAGAAAGTTTTCCCCTTTCAAAAAATTTCGGGGAAGCCGAGGCACTCTCTGGATGTCAACCGCCGCGGGGGAAAAGCTAAATCCATCAATGGGCGGAGCGCAGCCACGGTGCGGCGGCTCAAGATTTACCAGACGCGCCCAATCCGCGACGCCAAGGGCAAAATCCTGAAGCATGACTTGCAGTCGAAGGAATTGCCGTCCACTAGAATTATGCCGGATAGCCGGTATTTTAGTGAGTCATCAAGCTGTTGTCTTGTTCGGTTTCCTTTTTTCGGTATCGTCCATGGTGGTTCAGCTCAAATAGTGTCAACCTAGGCGAAGTGGATTTATTTTCAGGCACTTATGTTTATTGGATATTGTTTGTTGTTTGTCCAGTTATTAGTTAGGGTCAGATGTACTAGGAAATTAAGGTAAAACGAGCGAAAACCATTGTTGGTGTTATCTGAAACCATATATGATTGTAGATTAACTTCTTGAAGTTTATCATGGAACTTAAAGTGAATTGTGGTTGTACATTCAGTGGCTATTTATTCAATCATCGGTTATCAGTTGAATCTTAGTTCTGGAATGTTTAGCATTCAATTCTACAATCAAAGTGTCCTCATGTATTCATTCGTCCATTTATCATTCACGAGCTGTAAAATAACTTTACTGGTTACCCAAGAATGGTTGTAATATACTAATATTGCTAGAGTTTGTGTAGTTTAATGTGCTATGCTAGAGATTCTTGCTGTCATTGTGGTTTCGGTAGATTAGAAACTGAATCTGTCCTTTCTTGTTCATATACTTTAACAGTCAACACTCGCATTGTGGATCAGAAACAGCTAGAGATTTTCAGGGAGGAGCTTCAATATCGGAGGTCAAACAGTTACAATGTGATTTTGAACGAAAAGAAGCTACCCATGTCCCTGTTGAACGATCATCATAAGGTTGAAGTCTGCAAGTGTATCTGTTGTGTGTTAGGGTTTTCCAGAGTTATCAATGTTTGAGCTGTTTTTTTGAACTGTGTTTGCTGATACCATATTTATGTTTTCTTCTGAAATTCGTTCTAAGCAAGCAAGAGTTCATGTCCTCGACACAGAGCCTTTCAATGATGCTTTTGGTTCAATGGAAAAGAGGCAAAGACAGAAACTACCGGCATCTGATTATGAATCATTAGTTAAGAGAGCTGATGGTTCTCAAGGTCAGTAGTAATCATTTGGTGTTATGACATTTGGATATTATCTTTTTCCGGACTTTGGGATAATGAATAGTCGCGCAATTGAGAATGACATTTTTTGGGTGACTTGAGAAACTTAAAGATTCATTTTGGCAACTTCGAATGCCTAATTAACTAATGAGGTCGTAGGTCCGTTTGAAGAGAAAAATGATGATACTACATATGCTGAAGGAGGTGAAGATGGCACCAGAGATCTTGTAAGGCACGGAATGATTGAAAAAGGTCAGAGTGAACACATATGGAGAGAGCTCTACAAAGTGATCGACTCTTCAGATGTTGTTGTGCAGGTAGGTTTTAGCAAACAGATCACGATTTGTATAGTTGTTTCGTTAGTTCTATTTGATTTGACTTGTCAGTGGAGCCATTTTGTATTAATTATATGCAAGAAATGGCTATTAGCTAGCTTAGAATATTTACTTTCTAACATACTAATTGGTGGTGATTAATACCAACGGTTCAAGATGTTCCATGAGGAGTTTCTATAACAAGTTCAGAACATTTGATTTATTCTTAATTGTCAGGTAGGGCTGAAAACGAGCCGAGCTTGATCTCGCGCTCGATCCCATAACGAGCCGAGTTTGAGCCTTAGCGAGCCAATCTCGAGTTTTAACGAACCGAACTATGGAAATTATAAAAATATTCTTTTTTCGAGCCTTATAGAACCAAGTTATTGAAACAAGCTTTATGCGAGCTCGAGTAAACGAGCCGAGCTGGACTCGAGTCTTAACGAAACGAGCTCACGAGCGGCTCGTTTCGTTTAACAACTCTGTTGGCAAGTAATGTATTCACTTTTGAACACATAATTTGCATGGTTAAAACTCTAGGTTATTGTACATTTGGAGTTTCATAGTCTCCGGCGAAAGTGGATTAGTGTTCCTTTTTGTTTTTCAAAGTTAAGCATGCAAGAAAAATTAGATGTTGGATTCTTGTATAAGCTGATACGTTATATGTGGTATATCCGACTTTCTGTGATGTTTGTTAATATTCTTTTTGTTTCACTTCTTGGTCTTTAGCAACCAGTTGTTAAATTTTGTTAATGGCAGGTTTTAGATGCCAGAGATCCGCAAGGTACACGATGCTTTGACTTGGAGAGGCATTTGAAGGAGCATTGCAAGCATAAGCACATGATCCTTCTATTGAACAAGGTCCGTAGCACTTATTTGCATATGTTGTCCGTAGCACTTATTTGCATATGTTTCAGGAGCATTAGTTGTTTAATACTGATCTCAAGACACTTCTTCTTATCCTCTCCTCTTTTTTGATGTTGCCTGTCTGCCTCTTGACAGTGTGATCTGGTTCCAGCTTGGGCAACAAAAGGATGGCTTAGAATTCTGTCGAAGGAATACCCTGCTCTTGCTTTCCATGCAAGCACAAACAAATCATTTGGAAAGGTATGCACTTTGAAATTATCAACTGAAAGGAGTGGTATGTAAGTATGAGGAACATGATTCATCTTCTTCTTGAACGAACTTGTGCAATTTTGGGACATCATCGGTTATAAATACTGGACTGTTTCTCCTATGGCTTCTGATGTTTTTGGCTCTAATATTCATTACCCTTTTATTGCTTTCAGGATTCCCTTCTTTCAGTATTAAGACAATTTTCTCATCTGAAAAGTGACAAGCAAGCAATATCTGTGGGATTTGTTGGATATCCAAATGTTGGGAAATCGTCAGTTATCAATACTTTACGCACAACGAGTGTAAGGCTCTCTTTGTAGTTAATCTCCTGATTTTGAGTTAATTTTGCTTCCTTGTTCGTTGTGGATTAATGAACTGTTTGATTTTGCAATATAAGCAGAAGAAAGACAATAACAGTGCTGTGCTTTTTCTTTGATGTTATGAATCTGCTATCAAATATATTTCAGATCTTTAGTTTGGAACTGTGGTAACTTGGTCCCTCATACACTAACGAATCCAAATGAATGTTTTTGATTATTCCTTTAGACAAGCAGTAGCTCCAGCATTTGAGTCTTCTTTCTTAGCATTAGAAAGGGAATGCCTGATCCTAGTGAAAATATTTGACTTATGTGCAATTGGTTCATATGCGTGCTAATGGTCCTTTTAGTTGTATCTTTGCTTCTTGTCCTTCACTACTGTAAATCAGAAAGGTAGTCATGGTTTGTTAGATATTGAAGTCTGAAAGAGATGTTTGATTATCATGCTTTTACTATTTCCGATTGACCTTCATTTTCTTTACTATCCTCTTAAATGTTGGTGGAGTTATTGGTTTATGTGAGAAACTTGATTTGTTTCCCCTTGCAAAGATCATGTGGTCAGTGCAGTTTTTCAGCGTATGCCTTTATATGTGCATCCAATATGCTATTGCTAAGCTAGTAAGCTGTCAATGCTTATCTTTATCTTCTGCGAAGTGTCTTTTTTGTATTATTTGAGTTATCACTCCAGTGAATATCTGATGCTTTGTTCGTACTTTATTGATTGAGTTATGAGTTGCCTATTTAGTTATTCTTACAAATGCTTATAACGGATAGGTCCGCAAAGTTGCTCCTATTATTGGGGAGACCAAAGTGTGGCAATACATAGCACTCACAGAGAGGATCTTTCTGATTGATTGCCCGGGAGTTGTTTATCAGAACAAGGACTCCGAAGCAAATATAGTATTGAAAGGAAGGGTATGTAATTCTCCTCAGTTATATGTTGTAATATTGAATGGATGTGCTGATATTGGTTAGGGGATATTTTCATAACATCTTATATCATTAGACAATCGTGTTTTGTGAAAACGAAACTTGAGGAATGTTGTCTTATCCAAATTTTGTTATCAACATTAGTGCCCTCATTAGCCGTTTTACCTTTTTTAAGAAGATATGCTGATCAACTCTTTTTCCCAGGTTCAAGTGATTAATTTACATGATGCTGTTGAGCATATTGGTGAAGTTCTGAGACGTGTCAAGAAGAAGGACCTGGAGAGAGCTTATAAGATTAGCGACTGGTGAGTCTTTTGTGTTTACGCCATTAGAAATCCATATACGACATTCAGACCCAAATTATTTCGTTGGATAATTGCTGATACCATCTCTAGGAGTACCCTAAATTAACTGTGGCTCTTAGGGTAATTAGCACGCACTTGAACCAATTGCACACAAGTCGAATATTTAACAAATAGCTAAAAAGGTTGAGAAAATAATTGCTGGTTTTTAAATTTTATTTCAATATTAACTCAAAATTCCACTAACAACTAACCATACCACCTTTCAATCAAAATTAACTATGGTTTACAAAAAAAACCAATCAAATCCATATCCAATCACACCCTAAAAACCCAAATACCTTTTGAAATTACAAGCAGCAGATTAATCGTAACTTGCTTGATGCTATTGCTAGCCAGATTACAAACATAGTCAACCACTGAATTCGGGACTGTATTTGACTTTTCTTATTATTTTAGGGATGATGAAAATGATTTCCTCGTTCAGCTGTGTGAGTCGACTGGGAAACTTTTAAAGGTAACCCAATTCTCCGTGTATTTACATATATGCTTCAAAATATCAAAAGCTTGGAAAAACGAATTCCTTAGCTGGAGTTTTGCAAAAAATAAAAAAATAAAATAAAATCAGTGAGCTGCAGCTGCTACCCTATTTTACAATTAAGATAACTTCAAAATTGAATGAATCCCGCCGAAGCTCGTATTGAGAACTTTGGAAGACCCAAAAGTCGAAAATCACTCGTTAAAAATTCATGTGATTCCATTGATTGATAAAATCGCACTTGGGGCTGGAATGACTGAATGACATTTGTTTATGTTCATAGGGAGGTGAGCCCGACTATATGACTGCTGCAAAGACGATTCTCCACGATTGGCAAAGGGGTAAAATACCATTTTTCGTACCGCCACCAAAGCATGAGGACTCCATAATAGCAGAGGAGCCGAACGAAAACAAGGGGAATGGCAATATTACTGGCGATAATGATAAAGCTTCAGCCACAAGAGAAGCTGTTGATGGTTTTATTTCGTCCCAGACAATAGATCATAGACTTGGTTAGCAACGATGTCTCGGAGAAAAATATTCGGGACTCGCTAGTCTTAGGATTTTCTGTTATGGTGCTATTTTTCAATAATAATAACGGTAATAATATAGTAATAATGGTTGATAAAAAAAAGCGTTGACAAAATTTTGATTGAGTTATAATAATTGAGTCCCCTTATCAAGTGGAACATGATGCTGGTTTTCAGCTTATAATCCCGTGAATCATGTGTTCACTTGATGTGTGTCACCTCATTTTTTATTTATTTATTTATTTTTTTTAATGTACGAGCAGCTGGTTTTACTGTGAGTTAATATAATCTGTCTTTTTAATATTTTAAAGAACGTAAATAAAAATATATAAAAACATAAATGAAAGAATGGAATTTTTATAATGGCGTTAATTGGCTGATAGAAGATTGTACTAGATGTGATTTG